AATTCCTGGTTAATCCACTAATGGGCTTCTTATATTTGTTTTAAAAGTTGGTATCAGAATTTAGAACTATGCTCTCTGGTCAGGCAACCTCTGGCCTTCCAGATGTTGCTGACTACAACTTCTAGGACTGACATAAAATCATCACATCATACCTTTGGCATATCAGACTAGTGAGCAAGGTGTTTGAAACAGGGGTCATGATTTCCCAGCATGCTGACTTTTAAATAGTGAAATAATCACTCTGGCTACCAGCAATCATTAGTATTTAACACTGAATCATACTGGTACAATAAATATTTCTATAGGCAACAAAACAGTTTTTTGAGTTTGGATTCAGTTTTGAGCTTTATAAGCTTGCTGAAGCCTTACATAAAGAAGATAAAAGCTTTACAAGCAGCTTCAAAATTGTTCTGTCAAATAAAAATACCAACCAGAGAAGAATTCAGACCAAATTCTTCATCTTCTCATTAGCTCCAGGTCCCAATTCCTCTTCCTATATGAATAATCTATTGCTGTAGATCAGATGTAGATGTCTCCTTCCAATATTGTATAATAATTCTGGGCAGCCACCAAGCCAAAAAAAGTCCATGTTCTTGATGATACATTGCAAATATTGGGGGTATGGCCAAGAATGTATGCATCTTTAGTGCAGAGTTATTGATTCTTAATCATGTTGATAATTCTGTTGATTTCAGTCCAAAATAATGGAAAATACTTTTAGAACAGACAGTAATAGAAAAATCCAAAGCATATTTGGATTGCATAAAATGGCAAGCTGATTGCAATAAACAATGCTTTATTGTTGTATTAACCTAATTTTAAGATAATATGAAACTAAGCCAAACTGCCACTGGTTTCTCAAGCCAGGACCTTCAAGCTCATTTCAGATATTCAATTACAATTAATTTAAATTTTATTTATGTCCATAGTCTTCCTTTGAAAAGATGACACTGGCTTAGGAGCTTCACTTGATTCCTCCCCAAATCTCCACATATTGTAGAACCTTAGGAACCACAAAGGCCAAATAAAAAGTCCTTGGGTTGTACAAACTGCCAAGAAGCACTCTGAAGTAAATCAAAAGCAGATTTTAATTCTATCAAGTTTTAAAAACATCTTCATCAGAACTGACTTTATTGTAAGTAGCTTATCCATAAAAGTGTTTTATTCCTATTTTTAAAGTGGCATAATTTTTACCAAGTGAAGGTGTTGAAATAAATCCCCACATCAACAAGGATTCCAATACTTGTCAGGGTTTCCATCAAATAATAATGTCAAATAATAATGAAGTTGAGCCCCAAAAGGAATTGAATTCTGAAATTCTTTACTCTAGCCAATAGTAAAGTTAAAATAAATGCCAAATGGTAAAATATGGAAACTTAGTTTTCTGACAGGTAACTATAATTTATGCCTTGAAAGTCTCACAGGATACCATTCAACTTGGTATAAATTTGCTTAAAAGAATGTGATGGAATAAACAATTGTAAATTAATCTTGTATCATCCAATCTTAGAACAGATATTGAGAAATGGCTTTTTCCATCAAATATTTATTCCAAAATCTAATCAGAAATTCTACTTACGAAAACAGCAATATCTACAATTATGACTATCATATATCTTCCCAATATAGATATTCTGTAAAAGCTGTTTATATTGAGGGAGTGTGTGAGTCTCCCACAAATAAGCAGTTTATGTTCCCAGCTTTTTTAATTTGGCCCAACTACACTCGTCTAAAGACCCCAAACCTTTGATACTGAATTTTACAAAGGAGGTTGCAATGAAATAAAATTAATATTAGAAACAGTGACCAAGAAAAAATATATACCTCATATTTATCTTGTCCACACAAATGTGAGCTATCTTAGTTCCCTCCTAAGTGAAAGAAATCAAGATGAATAAATGGTGAATAAATGATTAATAAATAAATTAAATGAAGAGATAAAATTAGAAATAAATATATACTCCTAGTTTGTCAGTAGTCAAGCATTATGTAGAGCATCCCTAATGCCCCTTTCATTAAAAAGTGATGAATATTACATGAACCAATTGGGAGAAAGAAGAAAAGAAAGTTCTGCTGCTTAACCTACTGAAATATATCTACATCAAACAAAGCCAAATGTAAAAGAGAGAGGAAAAGAAAGAAAAGGAAAGAGGTACAAACAGAGCTACTAAAGGATTTATGTCTGTAATGGTTCCTTGCAGCCAAGGTCATACAGATAAAAATAAGCTGGCTTAATCAGGACATTGGGATAAAGTTTAACAGCCCGAAGACAAGTAAGCAACCAACATAAACATATAACATGTTTAATCCTTCTCCAAAAGGACTTCAGCAGGAATTTAAGGGGCTAAGACATTTTTTCTGCTTCCCCATGATATAAAATCAAAAGTGTAATTTGGTTATGCCAAAACAAAGGCATCCGGAGTCCTAATAAAATACTGAGGAGTCTTTTCCTAAGCAATATTTCTCTACATATTAAATATCATTCTATGTTATTCAATTTCTTTAGCGTAATATGGGAGAAATGTAAGGTATGTTATTTCCCCATTTAGTTACTGAAATGAATTGGCCTTTTGTAATATTTCATTCTGTACAGGAGATCTAAGAAATCTCACAATAAATGGCTGAGTTTTATCAGCAATATGAAAAGAAGAAGCTGGAATGTGGTGATGTTTAGCTGATAGTCTTTGTCAAAGCCAGTTCTTTAACATTAGAGCTTCCTAGAAAAAAGAAAAAACAATAAACTGGCTTTTCTTTGTTTCTTCTTCATATATATATATTAGCTGAGCAAGAGAGAGAATCCAAGAACATTATTTTATCCTGAAGAGATAAATCAATGTGAATTATAAAATAATGTAATCTGCAATGTAAATTATAAATTAACAGACTTTTCATGATCTTTCTAGTTACATCCTCTCTTATCTCTAAGTGAACAGCCTTTGAATCTTTTTCAGTTGCTTCTCAAACTATTATTGTAGTGGAGGGAGTCGCTGAATTTACTTGGGAACCATCCAGGCAAACCACAGACAATCTCCTATAAACAAACAGTGTGTTTTTTAGTTCTAATTAAAGTGGCAGTTAAGCGTTTATAGTAATATAAAAACTGTGGAAGATATCAGAGAATTGTGATGCCCACCCAGTTATAACACAATTTTCACCTGAAGTCTTGTTGATTTTGTTTCTTATTTCTTTTGCTTTGTTTTCTTGAAATTTTTTAGAAGTTACCAGGATCTTTAAAGCTATCATTGTAGACATTAGCTTTCTCCTTGGGCTCAGAGCTATTTACTATATCTCCCACTTTTGATTTTCTTTGTTTTTTTAATTGATAAATAAAAATAAATGTTGATGTGATTTTTTTAATACATTAACTAAATTAACTGAATATATCCTAAATGACTTTAAATATCAATACCAGTTTACCAAAATTTTGCCAAGTAAACAAATGGCAAACTGTGCAGTACTTTCCATGCTGACATGGTATAATCCTTGTACTGTGTACAGGTTGGGAGCCTGCCTGTTGCTCTTTGCATAAAGGGTAGCCGGAAGTCTTTTTTTTTTTTTTAACAAGAGGTATAAAAATATTTTAAATATATAAAGGACTGGTTGATTACTTCATTGATTATGAGCTATCAAGTCAGTTTTACTGTTTAATGACTATACAGATGGATTTTCCCCAGGATGATCTTTCTCAAGCTCATTCTTCAGGTCTTCCAATGTTGAATCCATCACCGCTGTAATTATATCCATCCACCTGGCTGCTTTTCATCTTCTTTTCTTTCCTTTCACCTTTCCCAACATCATAGACTTCTCAAGAGAGCTAATTGTTCATATAATATGTCCAAAATATAATAATTTTTGCTTGGTCATTTGTGCCATAAGTAAACATTAAGAATACTTATGTAATATATGTTAAATTCTTTAGTTTATCCATATTGGTATATTGGTTAATTCAGCTAATATATTGAAAAGTCCTTCAAGCCAGCATTTATTTTTACTGGTATATTTATTTCCAATTTCAAAATTTCATATTTTCTGATAGCTTTATTGTATATGACCACTCCATAGTATTGCAAATGTTTGTAATTTTGATCTATGAACTTCTGACTACAAAGCTTGATGTTTGGGTGCTTGCCAGGGACTCACATTGCAATGGCAGTTGTATGCATTGGCCACCTTGGCATCCTTTTCCTAGTAAACAAATTATGATGCATGGTATTCTGCTGAAGTTGGCCTTTGTGAAAGGTTATTGTCAGACTTCTACGCTGGAAGCAGAAATATACAGCAATTAAAATATATTAAAGCTCTGATAAGTACGTATTGTAGAAAAGCTAATGAAATTTTTATCAAAAAATTCTAGTGCTATGGCATATCAAATGCAAGCCCTGTTTATAGTGAAAATAAGGTTTACATTTTTTCACTTTTTATTCTATTTGCATGGACTAACAGGCTTGAAGCCACTCTCTTCTGGTTAGGGAATGATAAGTTTTACCTGTCTCTTGCCTTTGTAATGGACTAATGTGGTGTCAGGCTTTTTTGTTTCTGACCGTATGAGAACGGCCTCTCACAATTATTCACCTGTGATAGAATCATGGTATGATTTTTTTTTTAATAGGATTTTTAACTTTAAATGTTTGAAAGCTAATATTGCCATTATTTGGATAGTAAAGACTCTCTTAACACCTACGTTGTGGACTCAGATGCATGCATAGGTTTCTAGAAAGCAAGCTATGCTATTCTTTCACAGCAAAAGTAACAAAAAGTCTTGTATAACCTTAATGATTAAGGTTTATTATTTATTACTGCACACGATTCATGTATCATAGTTTCATGTTTCATTTATTATCGCATATGCTTTCATCTATCATACTTCACATGCATGAAGTATAATTTTTATTTAAAAAATTAAGAAGGTTTCAATTCTTTTAAGTAATTCAAAAACTATTGACACTTACTTTTCTATAAAAATAGACAAAAAATAATAAGTGAAGCTTATTTTTTAACAGACAGCAATCAGCTGAAGACCTTGCAAGAGTACCTGCTAATTCTACAAGCAACATCTTAAATAGACTTCTGGTTAGTTACGATCCCAGGATAAGGCCAAATTTCAAAGGTTGGGTAATGTATAACAAAATAGCTTTATTTTAATTTGTTTAACTTGTTATTCTAAATGTTTGCAGCAACAATAACTTGCATTTTATTTATTTACTTCTATAAATCAGCTAGACATTTGTAGAAGGTGAGAACTGATTAGATTTCAAACCACAATAAGCAAGGAATAAACTAATCTCTGTCAGATGATGTATTTAAACATAATCCAGAGAATTGAATTTGCTTTAAATCAAATTAATATAGCACTCAATCACTGTAAATTAATATATCATTTATCAACAGGAAAAATTATCTGAATTGTAAGCTGAGCTAACTGTATTTTAGTCATTATTCTTTCTTTCATCTTATCCATCTAGCATTTAGTCATGCTATTTAATTAATACATTGTTTCTAATTTTTCTGGCTTCCTTTCCCAAGTTCTTTCTAGAATATGGGAATATGTTCATTAAAGAATATAGAATAAAATTTACTTTTTCTCTTTCTCTGTATTTTATAAAGAGTTTATAAATCTTTTATTGAAGAGTCAAAAACAAAATTAAAAGGAAAGGAAAGAATAAAAGGGGAAAACAGAATAAAAATTCTTATGCATATATTTTAGGAATTCCAGTGGATGTAGCAGTGAATATTTTCATTAACAGTTTTGGATCAATACAAGAGACAACTATGGTGAGATTGAAGTATTTATTCTTATTTATTTATTTGATAATCAATATCTTTATTAAACACAGTAGTCCTTGATGGGCAATAATGTTAAAAGAAGAAAGAATATCAGAATAGTTAAAATTAAGACAATTAGAAATAGTCAACACTCAAAATAGTGTGACAAATGAAAATATTAGAGTCAAATTACTTTATCAGTGTTTACAAAAAGTTTAGGTCAACATCACTGGAGGAAAATGTTAAGGAAAGAACAGTCCTACGTGGGAGATGATCCTCCACTCTGAAATCCTCTGTGTTCACTATATCAGCATAAGAGGTTAAGATTTTCCCTTGCTTATGGAACTTTTTTTAAATTTGTTTTTAAATTTTCTCCCAGGGCTGACATAGATTAATGGACTGATCCATAGCTATACTGAGAGACTATGTCAGGTGTCTTTGTGTCTAGTGCTTCTAAGGTACCAACTAACCCATTCCCACAACAGTTAACTTAGTTCCTATCAGCATTTTTTTGGCCAATATTCCCTATGTCATTAGAACATTTGGTAAACATACCAGAGAATTTTAAATTTTCTTCACTAGTTGAATTTTCACCAAATTGCTCCTATGCTTCATCCCTAGCTTATCTTTGTCAGGAGTTAGGTTTCTACAAGATGTTATGATCTAAAGTGAACCAAGTGGGATATTTATTTAATTTTCAATAGAGTTTATTAGAGGACACTTCTGCATTGCCACTGAATTAAAATCTGGCAACAGAGAAAAAATATTAAGTGACACCAGAGAAACAATTAAATTCATGGAAAGAATAAAATGAAATGTGCAAATACTTTTACTTGCAAACAAAACTGCATTGTTGACTGAGAACTCAAATGATTTGCAGCAAACAATAGGTAGACTGTGTGATAAATCAAGGAGCATGTATATAAAAACTAATGTATCAAAGACCAAGGTAGTTGTGTTTCATAGGGAAGATGGAATGAACAACTACAAGTTATACATACATTTATTTATTTAATTGAATGGGGGAAAATTGGAGCAAATAGATGAATTTTTATACTTTGGTAGAATATTTACCAAAAATGGGAGAATGGAACAATTCAAATGCTGGTAGACAGATATTAGGTAATATATTGTCTACTATAAGGAATTAATGGTGAAAGAAATTGCTGTACGAAAGAGCAATTCTGCCCATTTTGTTATATGGAAGTGAGTTTTGTATATGTCAGGAGAAAATACCCAAGTTGTATGAAGTGGAAATAAATTACTTAGAAAGTTTGTGAAATAAGACAATGAAAGGTAATATCAAGAATGAACAGTTACTGAAAGAATATGAACTAGTGATCACTATAAAGGAAGTACTATAAGATGTTTTTGTGTTATAGAGAAAATGAATGAGTATTGAACAGTAGAACAAATACAGTAGTACCTCTAGTTACGAACGCCCCTCCTTACGAATTTTTCAAGATACGACTAGCTCAAGCCCCAAAAATTTACCTCATGTTGCGAACCACCTCGAGTTACGAACCGGATCTGTGGCCATTTTCCCTCCCGTGACACGTGGTCCGCGGCCATTTTCCGCCCCTGACATGTGGTCCGCGGCCATTTTTCCACCCCTGACACGTGGTCTGTGGCCATTTTCCGCCCCTGACACGTGGTCCGTGGCCATTTTCCGCCCCTGACACGTGGTCCGTGGCCATTTTTCCGCCCTTGACACGTGGTCCATGGCCATTTTCCACCCCTGACACGTGGTCCGCGGCCATTTTTCTGCCCCTGACACGTGGTCCGCGGCCATTTTTCTGCCCCTGACACGTGGTCTGCAGCCATTTTTCTGCCCCTGACACA